AGGGCCGAGGCCACGGCCGCCAGCACCGGCAGGTCCCTGTCGCTCGTGTATGAGTCCGAGAAGATCGGGGTCGCCTCTTCCGAGGTGAGCCTGGGGCAGGGCTGGGGCTGGACCCGGACCCGCCAGTCTGCATTGTCATACGGGGTCAAGAAATATTTCGTTCACGATCTTCGGGCAATTCTCGAATCGCCTAGAATAGGTTCTTGTGCTTTAGTGACTTGATGATTTGTAGTAACTTGTTAGCTTCGTAACGAGATGTGCGTCTTGAGTACTTGAAAGAGGCAGTTTGCCCCAGGAATCTTCCTTAGCCTGCTTAGTTGGTTCTTTTTTTTTTTTTTCCTACTCCTAGTTCAAAGGTACACTCCACACTGTCCAGGTAAGTAAAAAATTCTGAGCAGCCGAGTCTGGGTTAGGGAAATGGAGGGTCTGTTTCTTGTGCATAATTTTCTGGTCGGAAGTCTGGCCCAAGGGCTTCAGCCATTCCTCCCCCAGAGACCCAGAACGAGTGAGGACTGTGTGCCTGCTGGTGTCTGAAGCATGAACCCAAATGGGCCTTGAGCTTTTTCCCATCAGTGACCGCTTGCCAGTAGAGGTGGTGAGGTCTTGTCTGCCTGGACACCAGCTGAGTGAGCCAGAGCAGGACTGTGGGCCAGTGTAGGGCCTTATCTTTACGTCTCAAATCCAAACCAAGATCTAAACAGACAGCGTGTGGCTGGGACAGTCCATTGTTCCAACTCACATTTGTCAGTTCTCTCCATCTGTACAGAATTTCAGAGTAGAACCTTATGTGAGGGTGGTTCTTTTCTTTTCTTTTTTAAAGAATAGTTTATTGATTTTTAGAGATGGAGGGAGAGAGAGAGAGAAACATTGGTGCCAGAGCAGAGCACACCCTGCACCGGGGATCGAGCCCACAACCCGGGCATGTGCCCTGACCAGGAATCAAACTGGCCCTACCAACAGAGCCACACCGGCCAGAGCAGGATTGTTCTTTCTTAGGCACCACATTCCTCCTCTGCCTACTAATGAAATGGTTTTGTGTAGGCATTTTTTTCTTTAAGTTTTAAAAAAATTCATTGTAAATTATTTTCTTTGTAAAAAAAAAAGTAGATTATTGATATGTCAGCTAAGAATAATTCATCTTAGGCATATGAAGCTTTGAAATGTAATGCTAGAAACTAAAGTGTTGTATTCCTCCATGGTCTCCTTGTAACTTTTTTCCCTGGCAAAATTCATTCTGACCTGATCACTTATGGTCTTGGGCAGTTTGAGGTATATTGATTAACTTCTCAAACAGTCATCTTCATTTCCCCATTGCCCCTTTCTTGGATGATTCCCCTCCCCTATGTGGCTCACCTTCCTGTCTTTGGCCTTGTTGAGGAAGTTTAGCTTGTGGTTCTTACATGTCATATCTACTGGATTCCTATTTTTGAGTCTAAATGGGAAGTGTTGTCTCAGATTTGGGAAGATTGCTGAGGTCTTAGGGCCCTGGTGGAGGGGTGACTTGATTGAGTGTCCCAGGCCCAAGGAATCCAACTAAAAACTGTTTGAAGAGACATATATGCAAACAGTGAGAATAAATGAAGGAGGAAATCAGAATGATACACAGTCTCAGGTATAACAGCAGATAAGCTTGAATCTGGTTTTTATGGCTAAGGTTTAGACAAGAGGAGTGAGGAGGAAGATGGATGTTCCCAGGGAAAAAGGAGTAATGCAGAGGCACTGGCCTGGAACCAGAGCTCCTAGCC